CCCCAAAACCCCAAAACCCCAAAACCCCATTATTCTTATTGGCATTGAATATGTTCAAACATTTAAGAAACTGGTCGAAATACCAGCTGACGGGCTATAAAAAGTTCTAGTCTCACATTCTTGGTATACAGTTATTCATAGAAAGATCCTTCATTCAATACACATCTTCTGTGTCACTAGAGTAAATACTTCCGTGATCCTCCTCTTCCTCTGAGGTGGGCCTTGAGAAATTTGTGTTGATAATGAAGCTACCTTGCTTCTTAAGCTCACTTACTTCTTTGTCTAATAATTTTATTCTCTCTTTGAGGGTATCTACTCACTTGGCACTACTCTCAAGCTCCTTATCTTTACTGGCGATAATCACTAAAGTATCAAGAGTTAAAGGATACCTTTGAGCTTTTGTACCAGCTCTTTGTATAAGTTTGAGTCTATTTTGTAGTGGTGGGATTGCTTAGGATCATATTTCACACCAAAGGCTTCCTCTTGAGAGGAATTCACACTTTGTGTATGCTTCTCGGTTGAATAGTTAAAACCTGATTCAGCCCTTGAATGAGTTGGAATTGTGAGCTTGCTCAGTTTCTTAATAATTTCTTGTTGTTTCTATTCGGAATATGTAAAGTGAAAACTTACTTTAATTACCTCCATGCATTTGTCACTGAAGTCCTGAATTTTGTTCATTACAAAACTTTTAGTAATCTGGTTCTTAATGTCCTCCAGGTCTCTCTTAATTATATCATCCTTAAGGTCGGTCAAGATACGAATAATCTTTTCGATCTTAGATGGATCCTCGAGCAAAGACATAAACTGATCCGGCTCCTCAGTTTCAGTTCCTTGGTCTCTCTTGAGAGGTATATACTTATTTTTTCTCCTTTTCACGCTGTGATTTTTACGTCCTTTCTTCCGATTGGTTATTAAAAGTTTATTTATGACTGAATATCTTGTAAGATTCTGATCATTACAGTAATCGTCAACTTTCTTGTCTGCATCTTCAAAAACACCTGAAGTCTCGATGTTGTACCACTTTCGCTCTGTGTTCATAATGGATTTGGCAAAGATGGATAGATCTGGCATATCAGGAATAGATTCCTTGCTCCTCTCAAGAGACCTCTTGATGCTAAGACCCTTCTGAGAGGAGTCTTCAAGTCTTCTAGCAAGCTTCTTGATGCTGTTATGCATCTTCTCAGAGGAAGTATTCCTAGAGAGCGATAGCTCTCTGTGATCTTTAGCTCTTGAGCTACTACAGTTAATGTTAAATTAAGAAAATATTTAGTTTACCCTCCTAAGCTGATAATGGACAAGTGCTTGTTCCTGATCTTCAAGAAATCTGCATTTTCAGCAAGGAAAGGTACCTGAAGGTGATTTTTTGGATGAGCCATTGTGATTTCTCCTGAATTTTAGATGAGTTTTGAGATATTTTGGGTAATTTAAAGATTTTTGGATGAAACTTTAAAGAATTTTAAGATGCCTTGTCATAATTGTTTTTATTTTTGGAGAAAATTAGAGAGTGTCCAATTTTTACCTGTTTAGCTTCTTGTTTCAGTAGCTATATTTTAAAGCTTTGTGCTTCCATTTCGGAGGTGTAGTGTTATCAAATGATTTAATTTCTTTGATAGGTTCTTTACTAGTTTTCTTATATTTTTCGAAAGTTGAGCCTAGCCCATCTTTATTTTCTGGAATATTGCTAAAACAAACAAAATTTACACATCCTAACTCAACTCAGACCAAGCATTTTCAAACGATCTGAAAACCTAAGTGCTCTAAATCTGACTCTAATAACCAATAAACCCTTCAAACATACCTCAAATAACTCATTTCTCCCTTAAAGCTTCTTTTCTCTCCTAAACAACATAAATCTCCATTCTTCCTTCCCTCTCTGTCCTTAATCCTTACCATTTCTTCTCTCTTTCACAGTACAATGAAAAGCCATATTTGTGCTTAAATTTCTCAATACCAATTAAAATTTTCGGGGTTTTGGGGTTTTGGGGTTTTGGGGTTTTGGGG